CTGAATCCTACCATCCGAGGAGGATGAGAAATCAGTAAGAGGCGCGACTGGGCAGAAGTCAACACTAAAGACGAACCCAGACCAAGGCGGCCTTGTCCGCGTCCCTGCTGGGGAGCCGAGGCTGTTCCTTCCCCGTGTCACATGCAAGGCTGTGTGGGGCGCTCGAGCCCCCCGCGGCCCCGCCGAGACCTCCGCAGTGGGCCTGGCGCTGGCACATGCCTCTCCAGGCCATGTTCTCCCACCCAGCTGAGCACAACGCCACTTCAGATTGAAGAGGCTTCTCTCTGATTGAATTCGAAACCAAGCCGTCATGTTCTCAGATCCGAAATGTACTCGGGTGTGTCTCTCATTTCTCTCCATCCTCCGCCCCCAAGCCCTCTCCCCTTGGCAGAAAAAGAGACAATTTCTCTCTCCAAAGATGAACTTGAGCTTTGGAAAAGAACTGTCATCACGGCAACCACATAGCTCTGCAGTGTTTGCAAGAAGCGCTCAAGGCCCCTGACCCAAGGAGAGGACGGCGGGGTCCTGGGGGTGTCCTCCTCCTCCTGTGGGCCCTGCTCTCTCCCACCACGTGGCTGGCAGAGCAGAGAGCCGGGACCTCCGAGTTCCCGAAGCCTCTGGCGTGAATCCCAGCTCTGCTGCTCGTTAGCTGCACGCCTGTCATGGCGTCTTCACACCTCGGCGTGCTCCTCTCTGAAGTGGGCCCTGCCACCTCGACCCAGTCCAGCCATGAGGAGGCCCTGATGAGGTTCTGCTAAACCTGAATCTAAGTCCCAGGGCGGGGTGGGGGGGGCATCAGGGAGTGGCAGAAAGGCAGCCCCCGCTGTTTGCTGCAAACCCCTATCTTGCAGTCTCTAGTATATTTCAGCCTTGGGGCGCTAACCAGGAGCCCTGAACTTTCTGCACTGGCTTGACTAGTTGTGGGAGCAATGCCATGGGAAGTGCCATTGGCTTCCCAAGTGGCACTAGCGGTAAAGAACCCACCTGCCAATGCAGGAGATGCAAGAGATGCAGGTTCGACCCCTGAGTCAGGAAGATCCCCTGGAGGAGGGCATGCCAACCCACTCTAGTATTCTTGCCTGGAGAATCCCATGCACAGAGGAGCCTGGCAGGCTACAGTCCGTGGGGTCGCACAGAATCAGGCATGATCCAAGTGACTCAGCATGCATGCCGTGGGAAGAGGTGCCTCTCAGGCAGGGCCAGGGGAGCTGGGTCCTCTCCCGGAGGGAGGACGGAGGATGAAGTATGTGGGGGCAAGAGGGAACCAAGGCTCCCGGGAGGCCTCACCCAGTTTACCCAGCTCTGCAGTGTTCCCCTAGGGCTGGACCAGTACGGGTGCAGAGTTGGATGGCAAGGGGGGGCTGAAGCCCCGCCCCCAGACTGCCTTGCTCCTGCTGCGGGCACCCAGGATTATTAGCTGGTCTCCCAGTCTCCTCCAGCCGGACCCTGCTGGGCTTCTCTGATCAGCGATTCTGTCTTTAATCAAGGGCAAAGGGGGCTGGTGAAGGCCGGCGGCCACGTAGTGTTTGGAGAGTGCCGAGGGGGCGAGGAGAGGGGGGAAGGGGAAAGGGCTGGAGAGCACATTTCTTTGATTCCCTCAGAAAACTTTCACTCATCACCAGCTCTCTTGCTGCCCTGGGAAGACGGAGGGCTTAAAGCCCAGCCTCTGTTTTTTCTTAACCAGGGGACCACTTGCTGTCTAGCTCCTGCTTTGTGGGGTTGGGGGGCAGGGGAGGGGCAGAGAAGCAGGCAGAGCCACCCCGGCCTAGCAAAGGGAGGGAGTTCAACTGGGTCGGGCAGGTCCGACCTCGACCTCTGCTACCTGTGTGGACCACCTGCCAGGCTGTGATGAGCAGGGGCCAAGCATCCTCCGAGGGCAGGGCCATCGGCCTCTCCTGGAGGGGGGTGGGGGGAGCAGAGGGAAGGACAGAGAGAGGAGGGGCCACCCTGTGCTCCCCCCAGCCCCCAGGGTCTGCTTGCAACTAGCAGGCGGTGTCGACTTCTCCCCAAGGGGCTGGATTGGCATTTCGTTCTTTCTGTGCAGCCTGGAAGCCTGTGACAGTCACCAACCTCCCCTCCCCACGGCTCCCCAGCTACCCTCTCTCAGTGTCTGCCTGCTGAAAAGAAATCTCAGGTCTCCTGAATTTACAAACCCTTTGTTGAGACTAGAGCAAAGCGACAGAGCGCTCTAGGCTTATCGATCCGGGCAGGCAGGAACACCCCACCGGCCTCCCAGCAGCGGCTCTGCGAGGGCTCTGGTAAAGGGCTTGGCCTGCCCGACCGGACGGGCACCTCATCCCCGGCCAGCAGCTCTCTCTGGCTGCCTGGGGTGGAGGCCCGGTGGTGACAACTGTTGCAAGGGCAGGAAGGGGCCAGGTCTTGTGAGTACGGTGGGTTTCTACTTACGAAAACCCGAGTTCCTTTGGGGGGGACAAGTGTGGTATATCCATCCTTGTTTCTGGACAAGGAAGCTGGGCTCAGAGTGGAAGTGACCAGCGCTCAGCAGACAGGGGATGGAGCTGGGGTTAGCGACCAGGTGCCAACCGGCCAGGGGAGTGCCCTTTAGGCCTGAGCTCGTGACATTTGGGCTCTGGAGGAAGTCTCTGAGGGATACTGCCCTCCCAAGGCCTCCCTCCCTTTCCAAGACCAGGGAGGCCAGTGGTGGGAGGGGACCGAGGTAGGGAAGCGAGGAGTCTAGAGGGGGCACACTCCGCGGCTGCCAGCCCCCACCCTTCGTGCTGTCCGCACAGGCACCTGGTGACTCGGTGGGAGGGGAGGTGGGGAGGAGCTGCTGGGTCCTGAGGTCTCCGGCCCCTCCTTAGGGTCTGGCTGGCAACCCAGCCCTCCCTTCCTCCGGGGATAATTTTGGAGGCTGAGGTCAGGGTCTTCAGAGGGAAGTGGGGGGGGCGGTCAGAGGAGCCCCAGTGGACCTCCAGTCACTCCCATTGTAGCCCAGAGGCCTCGGGCAAAAGACCTTCCATCTCTGGACTCAATTTCTTCACATGAGAAGAGCGTTCGTGGGAGAGAATGAGGTCACGGAAAGGCAGGGGCCGTGGGGTGGGGAGCTGGTCAGGAGACTACTGCGTGATCTTTCTCCAAAGCCGTTCCCCAAGCACCCCCTACTCTGGATCTTCAGCAGAGGTGGACGGGGAAGAGGGCTGTCCACAAGGGGGAGGGGGTTTCCCTCCAGCCTCCAGGAGGCCACCCAGACTAGGTCCTGCTTCTAGGTGCAGACTTAGGGCCTAGGGCCAGCAGGGCGGGCGGCGGGGGTTCCCCCTGGCCTGACTTGCCACCCCCATCCCAAGGATAGTAAGTCTGTCCTCAGACCTGCCAGGGCCCTGTGATATGGCCCAAAGGCCAGGTTCAGACTGGCAGAGATCACCCCCACTCCGGGGTGGTGGGGAGAGTAGGCCAAGAAATGGGTGGGCACCCCTCCCAGCCCACGGCATCTGTCCGCAAACTAAGGGATGCAAGGGAAGCCCACACTGAAGATCCATCTGCCCAGGACCTGCTCCTCCGCAAAGGACCAAGCCCCATGCCTGCCCTTCTCCACTTCCCTAAACCTCCCTGATAGGGACGGGTCTAGAGGGTGGTTGGCCCAGCAGAGTGCGGGGCTCTATGTCGGGGCTGGGACTCTCACCACGAGTTCTTTGGAGCCAGGGTCTCTGGCAGGGTCCCCACCCCCCACCTGCACTTCCTTGTGACCCCCGGCTGGAGGCCTCCCGGCGGATCTGGAACACCTGCGAGTGCCAGGTGTGCAACTGTGCGTGTCAGCGTGAGCACACGTGTGAGCTTGCCCACATATGTCACGGTGGGCAAAGATGGATGTGATGGGGCCTGTGTGTGCGTGCGTGCTTGTGCTGGCTGCCAGTATGCGTGTTTTGATAAGAGTGTAACCAAGAGCCTGATATCTGTGAGTTTCCGGGACAGGGAGGGTATGTGTGCGTGTGTGTGAATATCAGACGTGTGAGAGCCTTCTGGCGGGACTGCAGCCGACGGCGTGTGTGTGGGTGTATGTGATGGAACATGTGCTCAGGTGTCTGTGTGTTCACCAGGGTATTCGCATGTCCAGGTGTGCACGAGGCTGCACATGTGCCTCTGGGCAGACGGCCTGGCACATGTTGAGGACACGTAGGGTTTCATAACGATGCGTCCTCTGCCTGTCTGCGTGCCTATGACTGAACAAGCATGCGGCCCTCCCGGCCATTTCTATGACGTGTGCGTGTGTTGCAGTGTGTGTGTGTCGCCGAGTGTGTCCCCACACACGAGTGTGCTCCCACAAGGGTGCCTGCATTTCCCCCGCGTGTTTATGGCTAGGAGTGTGGGCGCCCCAAGGCTTCTCCTAAGTGTTCTTCCTGCTGTGTGTGCGGTAGCGTACGTTCCCCCGTCTCCAGAGTGTGCGTTTGTGTGTTTCTGGGTGCGTGAGCCACGCCATGCGTGCTCGGGACCTTGGCGATCAGTGCTCTGGTATTCTGTGCGTGCTTCTGTATTCCGAACGCGTCTTCGCGTCTTCCTGGGGTCTGCGGCCCAGCCCAGGTTCGGCTCCCAAGACTTGTCCTAAGCGGGCCCGTGTGTGCGCGCCCGTGTGCCGTCCTATGGGGGGAACGTGTGCCCAACGCGCGCGGGGTACCTGTGCCCGTCTAGCCAAGAGTGGCCCGCGTGTGCGAGCGGGTTTCCGGGACACCGCAGTGGTGGGGGGCGGCCCCGCGAGGGGCGGGGGTCACCGGGACTGGCCGGCGCCGGCCCCGTGCGCGCGAAGGCGGGGGCGGGGGGCGGGGGCCGCGGGGGGGCCGCGGTACGAAAAGGGCGGCGCGCGCGGCGGCGGCGGCAGCTCGGCGGCGGCAGCGGAGAGCGCAGCGCGCAGCCCGGTGCAGCCCTGGCTTTCCCCTCGCCGCGCGCCCGCGCCCCCTTTCGCGTCCGCAACCAGAAGCCCAGTGCGGCGCCCGGAGCAGGTCCCGCGCCCGCGCCACTCCCGGGACCGCGACCCCGGCCGCCCCGCGATGACCGCGACCGCAGCCCTCCTGCCCGTCCTCTTGCTCCTGCTGGCTTTCGGCCGCAGTGCCCATGGTGAGCCCCCCGGCGGCCCGGCTCGCGCCCCCTCTGGGGAAGCCTGCGACGCCCCCCGCCCCCGGCCGCCCGGTGCCCCGCGCGCCCCGTCCCGTGCGCCCCGACTCCCGCCCGTCCCGCCTAACCCTAAGCCCTGCGCCTCGCCCCGCCTGTCATCCTCGCATGCCAAACCCTGCCCTGGGGTCCCTGGGGGGGGGAGGGGGGTGCGGGGAGCGGGAGGGGTGTGGGACCCCCGGCCCCTTCCCGCCCCGCAGAAGTGGCGCTCGCAGGGGGCCGGTGCGCAGAGTGGAGGTATGGAGAAACGAGGTGATGCTGGGGAGCCCTCTGTGAACACGCTCTGGGGTGCAACTTTGGGTGGGGTCTCTGCGTGTGCGCTCGGGAGCAGGCCTGTGGGGGCTGTGGAGGGTGACTGCCGTCGTCGCCCCAGAGTCCCAGCCAGGAGCACAGGCTGGGCCCCTCCCGCGTGCCGCTGGTCTAGGTGAGGGGCTGCGACACTCCTGTCTGCGGCGGCCATCTGTCCGTGACGCAGCATGCCCCCTTCGCGCAGGGCCCCCCCCACTGCGCCAGTGGTTATGGGGGGGCTGTCTGAAAAGCTGCAGAGAGTTAAAGTAAGCGCACACAGTAGGTGCCTATTAAAGTGTTGGAATGTCTAAAGGGTGTCAGAATTGCAGTCTTGTCCGCAAAACCCTTGTTGGTCTCTTTAGTACCAAGCACCTGGGGTGGGGAGTTTGACCTGGGTGCCTGACTTCGCTGGGATTAACCTTTGAAAAACTCAGACGCCTTACCTGTGAGCCTTCCAGGTGGACCTGTCTGAGCTTTTCCCGAGCTGAATACCTCAAAAACCTGTCCCCCGCCCCACCTTTAGCTCACTTTGTAAAAGTGAGGGTTTGGCCCAGTCCCCTGGGGTCAAGCTCTTTTGGTTCGCTGTCTCCCCATCCCTGCCTTGGAGGGCCTGACATTTGTCATTTCTCCGAGGGACGCTGGGTGTCTGACCGGGCCCCGGGAGCTAGGTGCTGTGCTGTGATGACCCCAGACCCAGAAGCAGGCAGGGGCTTTCCCCCGGGTGATGGCGTGCCTGACTGTGGGCCAGGCGGGTAGAGCCCCCGAGGGGCGGAGGCCGCCTCCCCGGCCTGTCGGGCCTCGTGCTGCGAATGGCGTAACCTTTCTTGTGCCCCAGGAGCTGAATGCTTCCCGGCCTGCCACCCCGAAAATGGATTCTGCGATGATGACAGTGTGTGCAGGTAATGGAGGGGCTCCCCAGAGACAGCTCGTGGCGGGGACAGGTTGGGGGGGGGGCAGGGCAGAATTCTGGGGAGCTGTGACGCAGGCAGAAAAAGCAGGGGGCCTCTGGACTGCAGCAAACAGCGCCCTCGCCCCCATAGAAAACCAACCAGTGGGGGAGAGGGGTGAGGGGGAGCCGAGGACTGGGGTGGCTGGGGATGGCGGGGGCGGGGGGGCATGATGTCACTGGCTCCTGTCTGTTTTCTCAGAGGTGGGGGGCGGGCAGAAGAGCCCCTTGCAGGGTAAGACCACTGCGGGCCACTGCGGCAAAAGGCAGCTCTTCCCCCGGCTCCCTGGGACCCCTCTGCCCGACCCCTGGGCTCATCTCGAGTCTGAGCTATCCTGCTCGAGTGACTGGGGTTGGTTTCCTGGGGCCCACCGGCCTAGAGCTGTGCAGAGACCCCCTCCCTGAGCGTTCTCAGTTCTACAGAAAGCCACCGCAACTCCCTCTCCACCCGTGTCCCCCACCACTCACATGTCTCCATCTTTCTCCCCACACCCCCTGACGCCCCATAGGTGCCAGCCTGGCTGGCAGGGTCCCCTGTGTGACCAGTGCGTGACCTTTCCCGGCTGTATGAACGGCCTCTGCGTGGAGCCCTGGCAGTGCATCTGCAAGGACGGCTGGGATGGACACCTCTGCGATCTAGGTGGGCACCTGCCCCTGCCCTCCCCGCCCCCGTCCCCAGCCACCTCCTCCCCGCCTGGTGGGTGGCGGCTGCCTCCCCTCCCCCTGTGGCCTTCGCCCAGCAAATCCAGCAGCCTGGATGCTAATGATCTGTTTATCCGCTTCCCACTGGTGCTGGGGGCTTCCCCACGGGGAAGGGGCACTTACTGCTGCTCCCCACTGCACCGCCAGCACCCAGCACTGGGGTGGGGGGGCGTGGGGGGCTGTCCGTTGAATAAAGAGTCCCAAAAGGAACATGCCACACAAGGCTGAGAGGGTGGGGACCGCAGAAATCTGTCCCGGGGGGTGGGGCGCTGAAGCTCAAAGAGGGGAGGGTCGCAGAGCCAAGACTCCAAGAAATTCACAGGCGAGGCTACTGAGGATGCTGTGACACAGAAGCAAACAGACGCGGGGGGATGCTGGGTGCTGAGTGCGGGGCCAGGGGGTACCGGCACAGGGCTGGGGGCTGTGCTGGACGAGGTCAGGTGTGGGGGCCGGGGGATGGACGGCCGGGAAAGGCTGAGAAGTAGCTCAAGTGCAGATTGGTGTTATCTGTTGATTTCATTAATTTATGCAATCTTTGCCCTCCATTACCCTGAGCAGTGGACAGTTGGCTGTCACTGCATTTTCACGCTGCAGAATGTTCACCCGAGCCCATTCTCGTTTGGCAAAACCTGCCCTGACGCCCAGGCAAACCAGGGTCCTTGAGAAAACTCCCCTGCCGGTGTAGGCAGCTGCCGTAGGGCCCCTGTCCCTCAGTCCCCCTGCCAGCGTCCACAAAGACGCCTGGTACCTAGAGGGAAACTGAGGCTTGGGGAAGCAACGGGGTCCTGCTCAGGACACTTAGGAAGTCGGGAGAACAGCCGGCTGGCTACCAAACCCCACCCTCCACCTCCAAAATGGGTTCATTCTCATCCAGGGGGCTAACGCTTTCCCTGGAGAAAAACCCAAGAACTGTATACCGCCCAGTGAAGCTCGGCAGTGGGCTTTCAAAATCCCCCAGGATGTGGGTCTTTAAAGTGCCCTCCCCCACCCCCGCACGGAGCAGGTTTTTCCCTACAGCTGACTCAGGCTCTGGCCAGCAGGGCTCGGCTCCCTGGAAGAACCTCTGAGCTGTTTGGGGGACCCAAGGCGGGTCCCAAGAAAAGCCACCATTGGGGATCAGGGCTTTTTAGCCCGGAGCCCCACTCTTGGTGATATCTAAGCCCGGGACCCCACCGTGGAGTTTTCCAGACAAAAGGTCCCTCCCCACTGTGTCGACAAAAGCCTGGGGCGGCTGGGTCCAGAGGAGGCTGCCCCCCGGGTAGTTCCTGGCCTTCTCCCTCTTCACCCGTCTTTGAGGCCATCACCACCACAGCTGCTGTCCCAGCAGGCAGAGACCCCCGGCCGCCCTCCCCTTGTGCAGCTTAATCCATCCGACTTTGGGGTCGGAGGCCCTGGAGGGAGGGGGAGAAGCCGAGCTGGTCCTCGGCTAGGCTCACGAGGCTTGACACTGCAGAAGAGGAGCGGGTGGTCGCTGGCTCTTGCGCTTACACGGAAGGTTCTCAGTGACAGGGGAGCCTGAGGCTCACGCCCAGGGCCTTCCGTAATGATAAATCCTCTATGTTCCCCTTGTGCCAGCCAGACTCCTCATGTGAGCTCTGCACAGGCCCTCGCCTTGGCGTACGGGGCTTTTCCTTACGGACGGATGGCCATCCCCTCTCCCCGAGAGGGTGCAGGGCTCTTGAAATGAGGGAGTCCATCTGCACGTGCGTGGCTGCAGCCCCCAGGGACCCCCACCTAGAGCTGCCCCTCAATCGCTGCCTCGTCTCTGGCTGGCCCTGGCTCTCTCTTTGGCCCAGGCGGCAGCTCAGATGGTGGAAAAAGCCAAGCAGAAAGGGGCTCTCAGACATGGGCTGGGGAGAAGCCCTTCTTTTCTAAGCAGGGAAAGTGAGGCATAGAGTCCGGGGTGGTGGGGTGGCGGGGGAGAGGAGCAGCTGGCTGAAGGTGGGTGCAGAAAGGGTCTCTCTCCTGGCAGAGAGCCCCCGCCCCAGGTCCCCCCTTTGTTCAGCCTGTCCCTGCCTTTCTGAGCCCCGAATAATGAAGTGTGCGTGATGGGAGGTGTAAAAAGGCGGTGGAAATATACCAGTGTTCATGGAAACCCGTGCTGACAGCTGAGAACTCAATAGCTCTCATTTCACCGCCTTCAAAAGATGCAACCTTTTTATCATGGACCCTCTTAGTTCAGAACCTGAGAGCAGACAGACCACCGGGAGACGGAGGAGGCAGCGCTGGGGCTAAATCAGGTTTCTTGATTCCCGACAGGGGGCTTTACATCTCATTTCCTCCCCCACCTCCCCGCTCCTCTTTGATGGAAAAGTATACAGGGACAGGTGATGTCTCTAACAGTTGGGCTGTGCTCACCCCCTCCTCCACCTACGAGCGGCAGGGACCTCCTCAGACACTAGAAACTGGTCTGGAGCTTTAGGGGGAGGGGAGGGGTCCGCAGTGAAGGTCAGTATTGCGGAACCCGACAGGTGACCTGGTGCCGGAAAAAGGGACAGCGGGCCTGGGTGAAATCTTGGTGAGCGGCCATGACTTTCTGTCCTCGGCTCCCAGAGCTGTTTACTTAGGTCAGGGTTCTGGGGGAGTCGCAGCACTCCCTTGCTGAGGACCCCGCTGGGTGACCTTGGACAGTGACCACAAGCAGGGAATCTGGGCAGCTCACCCCGCCTTGACCAGAGGGAGGGGTGTCTGTCTCTACCTGCCCTGACCCACGATGCTCTCCTTCTAGCCTCTGCGACGCCCACCCCCCACCCCCGCCACCAACCTCATCTCATCTCCCTGATTTTCTCTGCCTTCCAAGACATCCGGGCTTGCACCTCGACCCCCTGCGCCAACAACGGCACCTGTCTGAATCTCGAAGACGGCCAGTACGAATGCTCCTGCGCCCCCGGCTTCTCGGGAAAGGATTGTCAGAAAGTGGATGGGCCCTGCGTGGTGAATGGGTGAGCATTCTCTCCCTGCGGATCTGATAAAACGCGGCTTTAGAATCCCCTTTCACACCCCCTAAAGACCCTTTCAGCCTAACCCAGTCGGACCTGTTGGCGGACAAAAGACCAAGGAAGTGCTCCTTCTGCACCCTGCAGGGAGGCTGCCCCTCAGTGGGGCCTTTCTGACGGAGTCTGTCATTTCTGTCATTTTTTCCCAAACAATCCTGAAGATGATTTCATATTCCCCTGACGTCCCCAAGTCCTGATGTGTGTGAATGACAGTAGATTGGGGACTGTGAACCCGAGCCCCAGCGGCATAATTTTCTAAAGGCGACGTAACAAGAGATCAGAGTTCGGCAGTGCCCGAGGCTGTTGGTGAAACCTGGTCTCTGGACCTTAGGGGTGGCTTTGGTCGGGGGGGGCGGTGGGCGGCAGGCTCTGCATTGGGGTCTTCTGGGATGTACGTCTTAGGAGGTGGGGAGAGGGGGCTGTGGCCAGCATGGGGCAGGCGGGAGGGGGAGGGAGGGGGGGTCCGGCCCCCAGCTACCCTCGTGGAGAGGGGCCTCCGGGGCTGTGGGCAGTGGGCAGTGGGCACGGCAGATGGACCGGCCCTTGGCCTCTCTGGTGCCCCCCGAGCAGACTTCCCAGCAGCTCAGCCATTTCTGGCCCCCACTGCCCTCCTCACCCTCCGAGGAGGAGGGGGTTTAAACGGAGGCCAGGGAGGTCAGGTGAGAATTCAGGGCAGTCTCCAGCCCTGGGCCAGTGGCTGGGGGTCGGGGGGCGCCCCTGTCTCGTGAGGAAGCCGAAGCTTAAGTGCCTTCCAGGGACGGGGCAGAGAGCCCCCAGAGCCACACGGGCCAGGAAGCAGCCTTCTTGCAACATTCTAAAAATCGGCGTTCTAGGGCTGATTCGTGTTGATGTGTGGCAGAAAACAGCAAAATCCTATAAAGTAATGATCCTTCGATTAAAAAATAAATAATTAAGAAAAAAAAAGATCAGAGTTCAGGGTGAAGTCAGAGGACAGGGGTGACCACCGAGCTCCATTTCTGCTTCCTGGCAGGAAGGGGAAATATGGAGCAAGACCTTTAAAATATTTTGCTTTCCTCCCTAACAGACTTGAACCCGTCTGTCAAAATAGAGCCTGGGGTCCTTGAAATTCCTCCAGAGCCCCAGCTCCCCTCACCCTCACCCTTGCAGCAGCAATGCTGATTCCTTGTGCTCCGAGCCCCTTTCTTCCCTGGAGTTTCGGCATTTATCAAATGACAAAGGGTCTGCTCGTTTAAAAGCACTTACATTAAATGCTCCGTGCGTTCTGCTTTGAGCAAACAGCTTTGGTCTGCAAGCTGCACTGGGGTGAATGGGCCACTATTAACCAGCCGGGCCCAGACGCTGCTCCTGCCTTGCAGACAGAGCGCGCGGCTTTCTTTCACTCTGAGAGTCCCCAAGGGTTTCCTGTACAATAGCCCGCAGGCTCACTCCGCGGAAGATAAAATTAATAATCAGGGGCTGGGGGCGGCGGTGGTGGTGGTGGGAGAGACGGAGGGATGCCCTGCTTGGCCCCACCTCTGTGGCCTGGGGGCGGCGCTAAGGGGAGGGCTGGCCGCAGTGGTGGGGTACCACTAACTTTGCCTCTCTCAGCCTCAGTTTCCCCACCTGTCCAGTGACTTAACCGTCAGGCCTCTGGTCGGTCGGAGAGGTGACGTGAGAGGTGGGAGAGGAGATGGGCATCCTGGCACGGGAGGTCAGGCATGTTCCAAGTTGGCAGCGTGATGGGGGTGAGGTGCCCACCCCATCTGGGGCGGTCCGGGAGCCCCTCGCAGGCAGGGGCTCACGGTGCCCCGCACCCACTCCCCTCCCCACCTTGGGGCCTCCCTGGCTGGCACTCCCTCACCTCGAGCGTTCTGGGTACCTGCCCTTTGGTTGGGTCCCAGGAGGTTTGCGGTGTGGCGCGAGGGGGGAGCAGGGCACCCCCACCACGGCCTCGCTGTCCTAGCCCAGCGCCCGAGGGCCCTTCACCCTGCCCCCTGTTGTCCTCCAGCTCGCCCTGCCAGCACGGAGGCAGCTGCGTGGACGATGAGGGCCAGGCCCCCCACGCCGCCTGCCTGTGCCCCCCGGGCTTCTCGGGCAACTTCTGCGAGATCATGACCAACAGCTGCAACCCCAACCCGTGCGAGAACCAGGGCATCTGCACCGACATCGGGGGTGACTTCCGCTGCCGCTGCCCCGCCGGCTTCATGGACAAGACCTGCAGCCGCCCGGTCAACACCTGCACCAGCGAGCCGTGCCTCAACGGCGGCACCTGCCTGCAGCACTCACAGGTGAGGTTCGAGTGTCTCTGCACGCCCGCGTTCGCCGGCCCCCGGTGCGGCCGGAAGCGCGCGGCAGGCCCCCCGCAGGTCACCCGTCTGCCCAGCGGTTACGGGCTGACCTACCGCCTGACCCCCGGGGTGCACGAGCTGCCGGTGCAGCAGCCCGAGCACCGCGTCCTGAAAGTGTCCATGAAGGAGCTCAACAAGAGCACTCCGCTCCTCTCCGAGGGACAGGCCATCTGCTTCACCATCCTGGGCGTGCTCACCAGCCTGGTGATCCTGGGCACCTTGGGCATCGTCTTCCTCAACAAGTGCGAGGCCTGGGTGTCCACCCTGCGCTACAACCACATGCTGCGCAAGAAGAAGAACCTGCTATTGCACTGCAACAGCGGGGAGGAGCTGGCCGTCAACATCGTCTTCCCGGAGAAGATCGACATGACCACCTTCACCAAGGAGGCGGGCGAGGAGGAGATCTGAGCAGCATCCCTGCCGCCCCCCCTTCCCGGGGTCCCCGCAGAGCCCCCCGTCTCTCTGTGCGGTCTGCTCTCATCTTTGTGGTGGAATTTGCTCCCCTCTCTGTCAAATCTGGTGAACGCTACGCTTTCCTCTCCCGCCTTTGCACTGCAGTGTGACCAACGTAATTGCCAGATGAATCCTCTTTCTCTCTTCTTAATGCATGATATAAAAAAATAATAATAATAACGATAATAATAACGAGAATTTCATCTTTAAACGAGTAAGACAAATAAGTATGTTATTCTAAACTCTCAATCTAAAATCAAAAAAGACCAAAAAAAAACATGGCAACAGTGCCAGGGCTCCGTGCCGACGCCCCCCTCCAGCCAGGGGTGGGGTCTCGGCCACGGGGTCCTCGTGAAACCGTTACGAGTGCTGTGCATGACCACCCACTGTGAAAAGGGCTAAAATCTCTTTCGTTCGTTAATTCTCACGCACCACTCCCGACTCGCACTCATGTCAACACCGCAGACCTTGGGATTTTAGCAGAGTGCAGCGGCCGCGTGTCAGGCAGAGAGAGAGAGAGAGACAGCCCCGGGTTGGCTGCTGGGGGTGCTGGGACCTCGTCCCAGCCCTTCCGCTCACTCGCTGTGTGATCCTTGGCGAGTCCCTTTCCCACCCTGGGCCACCTCCTCCCCCCCACCTCCAGGTGGGGGCTTGAACACCGTGACCATCAAGGTCCTCTCTTGCCCTCAAAATCAGAATTAGCAACGAGGGAGTGATGAACCAAAACCGTTACCCTAAAAAATTAGGATCTGATGAAGACACAGTCTCATCCTGGGATCCGAAGGTTTTGGCCTATCCTGGATGTACACTTGATGTATTTGAAATGAATTTTGACTGCATTTCTCAAAGTGGGGAGCCTCCTGGCCCATTGCCCACCTGGAAACGGTTGCCCCCTTTGAGTCCCAGCGTGCAGTCTGGGGCTGACCCTTAGGCAGCCCCCCCCAACCTACCCACCTACTCAAGGCCCCAACAACTGTACCTGCCTCCGACCCTGTAGATTAGAGATATCCCCCAGCAATTTAAGTGCATCTTGAACCGCAAGTGCCCCTGGTGTATCTGAGCAGCAACACAACCTCACCAAGGTTTTTCACAGTGTTTGGTGGGAATTGTCGCTTGTGGGGCATTTTCTAGTTCTGTGGCCATAGAGGTACCAGACCAGACCACAGCGTGGATTTCATTTGTGTTGCTGAGTTAACTACCCTCAGATCCCCAAAGACCTAGCCAGCTTCTGAATGATAAACTTTGCCTTTTTTTTTTTGTAGAAAAAAGAGCATCTATCTTTTGTGTAAAAGTAGATGGGCCAGAGTTCTGTTTAGCTTTCCAGCTCTCAGAGTCGGGCAGCTAAACAGCCCTTGGGTACCAGTTAGGAATATTTTGCTTCTTGAATTATTAAGATAGGAATGTATATTCTTAGCTAATTGAGTATGACCTGCCTTGCTTACCTTGCTAAGCCACCATCACCTACGTCGTCTCTGTCATTCGGTCACTCACATGCATCCACATGGGTCACCAACCATCACATGACTGCCAAGTTCATCACTGTCAGCCACCGGTTTACCGCCCCCAGGCCCTCGTCATCGTGTTTCACAGCCCGACCCTCATCTCCCCCAAGCTCCCCAAGTCTCACCTAAGACATTGTCCCCATCGCGCCAGACTTTGTCATCCCCAGCCCAAGCTCCACTGTTCACCCTCACCCACACCCTACAGTCCCGACGTCCTGCCCCCGCGACCACCTCCCACCCTCACCCCAAGCCCTGTCCCCCTCGCACCCTTGTCCCCGCTGCCAAGTCCTCCCGCACCCCCAGCTCTGGTTACTGCCCCCCTCCCCTCCCTGGCCCTTACCCCCAGTCTCTAACAGCCCTCACCCCAGCTCTCTCTACCTACCCCCCCTCCAAGTCATTGGAGTCACCATCTCATCTCGTTTTGAGTTCGTTTTAAGAGATAAAAATTTTAAAAAAGACAAAAAAAAAGAACTGTTGGCTCGGTTGGGTGGGGGTCTGGCACCCCCGCCCAGCCTCTCTCTCAACGTGAGACCCCTGATCGAGTCAGCTGACGGTTCTGATCCTCAGTTTCCCCCAACGCCAAATTCTAAGATTGGACGCAGCGATCAAATTTCTCTACTCCACGCTTTCGACCTCCGTGTTGTAGAGAACGACCGTGTCCCCTGATGACAAGGAAAAGACGCCCCCCGACCCCACCCACTGCCTATCCTTGACCAGTTCCTCACCCATCCATCCTCCATCTGCCATCCATTCAATCAGGAAGCATTTCCAAGCACCTGCTGAGTGCAAGGCGGTGTGCGGGAAGCTGAGGACGCAGGATGAGGGGCGCTCTGGGAGGGGCATGGACATCAGGAGTCCCCAGGGAGCCTAGTGCAGTGCAGGTAAAGCGACGTGGGAGGGGAGACGCCTCCCTCACAGCCTGACCATCTCACTTGCCCACGTGACAGATCCTCTTACCAGCACTCCATGAGGCCGCCCCACCCAAATTCCACACCGCCTCTCACACACATCCCGCGAGATCAGAACCAAGCCAGCAGCCTCGCCACGGTCTTCACGTCATGCAGAAATGGTCCATTCCATCTGCTATGGGGTAACCAGATTCTGCTGAGAGTGTTGGGATCCTTGACTGCCCATCCGCACTTCGTGTGCGTTTGGAGTAGTGTGTAGTTTACGCCAATCCCGGGGAAGCTCAAAGACAGCCATCAGACACATGGTCCCTAGTATATGGTCCCCAACCTCGGGGAGGAGCAGGCATGATGATCTTGTAACTGAAAAATTTCAAACATGTCAATGATGAGCTCTTTTTAGCTTTCCCGTCTCTGCAGCCAGACATGCAAAAAAAAAAAGTTTTGTTTATTGAAAAAATAAACAAAAACCAAGGGCTACCTCATGTGTTTCTCCAGTTTATTGTGCGCCGGACTACACACGACCCTCCCCACTGGTGGTCTCTGACCTGGACAAGAGGAGTCAGTCTTTGGAGGGCCCTGCTCAGGCCCCATCCAGCCTTTCCTATGCCGCGGAGGAGGCCACAGGCCTCCCAGCCCACCCTCTGGGGCCTGGAGCCCAGGAATTTCCTCCCCAGTGGTCCCACCTCTAAGGCCCTTGGTGGCCTCTTCCCTGGGTCGATGGCTAGCTGTTTGTGGGCAGTGTGGATGGAGCTGGGGTGTGAGGAGTGAGGGGTTCCACATGGGAATGCTCAAGTCCCCTCGAAACAGGACTGAGGGCCAGCTCTCCCCAGCTGCTGCATTCCAGCGGAGAACTCCAGAGGGTCTGAAAATTCCATGTTGACCCCAGGCCTTCCAGGACTTAGGGAAAGTAGGGTTGCCTGGGTGAGGGAGCAGAACAGATCTGAAGGACACTTGGGGGTTTCCCTGCTGGCCCAGATGGTAAAGAATCTGCCTGCAGTGCCAGAGACCCCGGTTCGATCCCTGGATGGCGACGATCCCCTGGGGAAGGGCACGGCTGCCCGCTCCAGTATTCTGGCCTGCAGAATCCCATGGACAGAGGAGCCTGGTGGGCTACAGTTCATGGGGTCAGGCATGACTGGGTGACTCACATTTTGGAAGCTTTTAAACGTTGGCACATCAGGTTTATTGGCTCCGGGTGTGCCTCTGACCTGGGTCCCACTCATGACCAGGGGAACCTGCCTTTCCTCTGGTCCCAGGCCTCAAGTCACAAGCGTGTCCACTCAGGTCACTAAAACCACCCACGAGGGATTTTGAAGGTGAAGTGTCCACCTGAGGGGGGTCGGCCAGAGTCCCCCTCAGAGGCAGAGACTCAGTCAAGTCCCTTATCCTTGCTGGCCTGGCAGATGGCCTTGGGGTGGGGTCTCCTTTCCACACCCTTCCTGGGTCTCTCCGCCAGGTCCTTGCCACCACCCACCCAGCTGCCTCTCCCAGCCCCTGGGCACCCCCGAAGGTCCTCCTGGCTCAGTCCCACCTCTCCCCTCCATGCTGCGTGGGTCTCCTGTCTGTCCACCACCTCCCATTCAGCCGGGCAGGGGGCGCTGGGTGTCCCGACACTGCAGAAGCACAAGCGGGACAGCCAGGGCCATGTAACCTCAGAGACGGATGCTATTCCAAGAATCATTAAAAAAAAAAAAAAAGGATGACAATGTTGAGACTACAAACCTAGAAGCTTCTATGAAAGAGATTTTTCTAGGAAAATAGTAATGATCACAATTGCTCAATGTTGCTAGCAGGAATGGCGCTGGAAGACTGGGAAGTGGCCCAGCTCCCTTCCCTGCCTTGGGGTGCAGCACATTTGACCCTTTGATGGAAGAGGGCAGGCCCACAATAGAGATGGTCCTAGAGCAAAAAAAAATTTTTTAAAAAGGATGAAGATCTTTTCATTCTTTCTTCAAAGCTAAGAGAATCCCAGTGCTAAAGCCTGACCAAGTTAACACTGCTGAGTAGAGGAGCAAAATCTTTAATAACAAAACAAGTAAATGTTTTTTTAATAAAATTCATGATCGAGTAGAGCGTTTTCTGGAAAAACAAGTCGGGTTTCATTTTAATAAATGTATCCATAGATAGTGAACGCCCGAGTGTCCAGGAGGGAGGAAACCGTGATGGATGATCGTAGTGGCTGTGAGCCAAGCCGGGGGTCACGCAGGTGACCTGGGAGGAGAAGCCAGCCAGCCTGCAGGACCGGCCCCCTCCCGCAGGGCCGCGGTGGCTGATGAGCCGGCTCCGCAGGGGCGAGGAGGGCCTGGGGTGCCATCAGGGGAAGGGACTGGGTTGCTGTAGTGGGTGGGGTGTGGGCTCAGCGCCGGGTGGTCCTGGTCGTTGGGGCCCGAGGATGGGGGAGCCCCAGTAGCGGGGTGGGTGGGGGTCCTGGCAGGAGGGGTGGTTGCCCTGGGGGGCCTCTGCAGGGTGTCCTAGGCTCGGGCAGCCGGCCAAGGAAAATATCCTGTGGGCTCCAAGGGAGGAAGAGACAGGATCTGCACGTCCC